TATTCAGTTGAACCTATTCGAAAGTGCAATATGGTTGGATCAGTACTATTCTGCATTGAATCGAGAAATCTTTTTCATCTGTGTGTATGACTGTCGCCAAAGTGGAGTAGCAACAATTTGTTTGTACACGGCATATGTGTATTGAAAAATTATCTAACACAACGAATTTCATTCATATGGTGCGACGGTGTCGTGACACAGGGTGTTTGAAGAAACAAAGAGAAGGACATGTGGGAAGGCATGTACCACTAGAAATGGCTGAAATTATTGAATGCTTCATGTGATTGATCGATGACGATCCAACAAGGGGTACTCGGTCCATAGCAGAACAAGTCGCAGTGGCTGATACTAATTCACAGTATGGAAGACAATAGGACAGGAACAATTCTATATATTCATACCATTATCGGACAGTATAAGCGTTACAATTTGAAGAGCATCCTGCGGGGATGAATCATGTCTATGACTTCTGAATCAGCCACATAACAACGAACATTTCACGAAATACATTTTGGCTATAGACACAGCCACAAACAGGGTGTATATATTTTTGTATTAATTTTCATGTAACATCGCTGTCATTATTCATTTCCAATTGCCCTAACATTTTTGGCAGTGAACTTTTGATACATACTTCTCATGGAAAAAACCTTACTCACACACTTTTTCCTAGTTTAAAAGGTACACTTCCGCAAAAACGCTAAAGGTGATCATTCTCGAGATATTCACAATTTTTTATATCGATGCATGTCACTTAGCTCCAAGGGCGCTAAGTGGAGTCAAAGAGACTTGGAGGGGGAAGAAGGGGAAAGTAAGTGAATTTCGTCAACTCATTTTGAAATTTTCCAATTTTTGTTCGGACAAGAAATTAATAAAACAAAGGAGGACGTCGTCTTGAGCTATCTTTCCATCCATTCACTATTTATGATATTCTCTCATCAGTAGTAAATTTCGAAACTTCGAGTTTGAACTGGGAATACTGATGGGATACAAGAAAATTCAGTATTTTGAGCTACGAGTCGGAAATTAACAGTGAGCAGTCGGGAATCCTGGGTTTTCAGAGAATATTTCATTCTCAGATTGATAACCTCTGTAACTGGGAATTTTATATTCCAAATTGAAACTCGATAAAACCAACTCAAAATTCGGAATATGAATTTTTCAACTTAGAGCTTCGAATCTGGCTTTGAATCAGTTGGAACGTTCAGTTTGCAGTCGGAAGTTTGAACTGGAAATTTTAATTCTCCTTCATGATCAAACTTGGAAATCCCGATAACAAAATCGAAATTTCATATTTTCAAGTTAGAAATTTCTAGTTTGGAGTAAGGAATCCCTATTTCAGAAAAACAGATATTTACCAATTTTTGTGAAACGTTTGATTCAATCGCCTCATTTATGAATTCAGATTGAGTAAAAACACATCAAGTGCTACTTCACTCCAAAAATCCTGGAAAGGTTTCCGGTTCGTTAATCTATTTTTCATTATTTATCCGCATTGAAAATTCATCGAGTTTTGTATGTAAACATCAAAACGAAATCAATAGCAGAATCCAACATTTTTAATTAATAAAGGGATCAAACGTGAAATTGAAATCGTTATATAAAAATCAACTCACCGATTTCAGTATTGACTGAAAACAGTTGGTGTACAAATCATGAAACAATATAACAAAAGGATTCATTCTGATAATCGAAAAATATAAATCAACACGAGCGTGATTTTCCATTTAGGGTTGATTTCGAATGCACCGATGGGAATGTTTTCATCAATAAAAAACCTGTAGTTAGTCTCTTCATTCATATCCGGGTATACAGGGTGTTTCCGAAATTGGGCGATGAATGAAATGGGGTTTTCTGTGAGACATAATGACTCGATAAAATACAAGACAAAATTGTTTTCAGAATTTTTCAAAAAACTATTTTTGACGACCGGCAACATTGCACGAGGTACTGATAATTCCGGAGCTTGTGATCTCGCCAAAAGCAAACGCTTGGGTTGGGCTATTAACCTTTGATCAATGATTTACGAAAGTTTCAGGTAATCTGTGGAGCGCAATATCTAAATGGCGTGTGACAAATTTGCTCTTTATGTTCCACTGCTGTCCATCCTCAAATTTCCAGTTGCAACATCAAAAAAACTCCGCAAAAATCATTCAACCTCGTGCTGTATTTGGTAATGAAATTTTACACCCTATTGTGTTTGAAATTTAAATAATTTCTGAATTTATTCATTTTTTTGATCAAAGGGAGATAAAAACTCAAAGTCGTCTCCACAAGTTTACTGGTGAAGTGTGCTGCTCTGCTTCATAACTTTCGATTGAGACATGTTTCGACCATTCAAATGGTCATCATCAGTCATAGTACTCAGAAAGTCAATAAGGAAGTGCCTATATCATCATAATGACGAAAATATTTTATATATTGGGAGATGATTTCCTCTCAAATATCTGCTCGACGAGTATATAGCACAAAATCACTATTTTAGGACGTACAAAAATATTCCGATTCAATTCGCGTATGGGTGGGTACTTAAGAGAAAAAACGATACACTTAAATACATACGTTGCCATGGTGATTTGTGATAAAAACCCGTGTTGATTGGTTAAAAATTACAGGTGTGGTATTTTCACTCTCATTTTGTCAACTGATTGAATTGAAATTTGGTAAGTGTAAATAGTAAATATGATAATTCAATTAATTTTCCACATTTGTCAGCGAAAAATGGGAGATGCTGAAAGGTTTTGCCGCGAAACTCGCCAAGCCATACTTCTCGAGGTCAAAATAATTACGACTTCAGGATTCAGGACGCTAATTTTTTCATTTCCCAATCAATTTTCGCTGGGATAGTGAAAACAATTCGAAATTTCATCTCTGTTGATAGGTTATAGGATGTGACTTTTTATAAATTCATTTCTTTCCTGGTTATAAATCACGTATATATACACTGTTGAAGGCTTTAGTTGTTCAACTGCTTGATCTCATAACTAAGAGATCCAGGATGAACAGAGTTGCCCCACTTGTCAGCAGGAGCGAAACAGTACTGTTTCGGCCCATCAGGTCTGACAACTGGGACGACTCTACGCTTCGGGTATATCACCCATTCCGAAGACGCATGATATAACATAAAGTTAAGCGAAGCCACAGTGCGAAGCGTAGAGTTGTCCCAGTTGTCAGCAGACCGAGAGCGGCTGATGAGACCTGGTGGGTCGAAACAGTACTGTCTCGCTCCTGCTGACAATTGGGGCAACTCTGTTCATCCCGGATCTCTCAGTTATACGATCTAGCAGTTGAACAGGTCGGTGGATAAATTCACTCAAGTATGTTAGGTAGTGACATCTGTCAGCAGAGTGGTTTACTTGTAGTACCATAATGTGGCGTACGGGTGACTATAGAAGGCAGCGCCATACAGTGTGTGTCTCGATCTCTGCATCCTACCTTCGAGCTTCGCCACTAGATGGCTACAACATGACTTTAACTTCATGTTATACCCTGCGTTTTTAGTTGTGCTATAGTTCCGAAAAATGAGCCAATAACAGCGTCTACGAGAAAGAAATGTCCTTATTCTATCTTCCATCCGACTTCGCGGCTAAACGTGAATTACTAAACGACCACTAAATTCGTAACCCATTGCAATTCAATCACAAAATTAGACTGACAGATATTTGATAACTTCAATAGAATGGTGAAGGTAACTGCAACGCAGGTGTCATTCCTATTGACAACTTCTTTCACGTCGATAATTTTCTGTGATCATGAGTATTATCACGATGTACTGAATATTCGAGATAATTCTGTCGCTTCATTGTTTACGAAATTGTGTTGCCAGGACGAGTGGTATTGCTATACGGCAACACAATTGAGTTAACAATGCAAGGCAAAATTAGACAACAGTAAAAAGTCGTTATTGAACGAGTCATTGGGTAACCGCTATTAATAACAAGTAAAAAAACTCGAACGGCTTGATGAACATTTGCATTTTGTGAACTATATCTCCATAATATCGGATGAATTGATAGGAATAATATACTTATCCAGGATAATGAGTAGTCCTTGGAGCATCTAAATTGAAATTTGAAGTCGAGTTGTCCGGAAAGGCATAGATTCCAGAATAATGGGTGTCAAATTGATTTTTGGCGATCGCTTTTTCGTCAAGATCATAGAATTTTTGTACCTATTCGACAGTCTTGATGAGTGTAGTGAGAGACTGATTTAGCCATGAATTACGAACAGCCAATTTTATCGAAATAATTTGACGCACTGTAACCTTTGCATTTTATGTATGTTTCAATGCATTTTTTGTCTAAGAAATCACTCAAAGCACCAGAGAATCATCCCGCCTCGAAGTATATCAAAACGTGACATCATTCAATAAAAGAAGTAACAATCATTAGTGTACAGCTTGACCATTCTTGCTTGACCCCTGGGATGCGCAAACGATAACAGAGATGGTTGATGTGCGACAAAGATCCACTACGCCTTTGGGATGTATGTTGTACATACAACGGTACTGTACTGTTTTAACCGATATTTACTGAACCAATTCCTCGACAATAATTAGCTCTCGCCCCGCTCCGCCTACTATGGTCTACAGCGCATCCAATTCTCAGATACCATGCTAAAATGGTCAAGCTGTACATTAGACTGCCTCTAACATCTGAATTAAGGTTCTTCAAAGAGTGAGGACACGCTTGTTATGTTATTGAACAGCTGAGCAAAAAATATGAGAATGTCATTTTTCCCTACCCCTAACAGTGGCGTGACATATAATGCTTATTTTGTAGTTAGATCAATATTATTTCATTGAATGTATTTCCATGGAATGAATATTAAGATTTGGAGCTTTGACAAACACTAGAAATATCTTCAAATAGATGGTAACCACTATTCTCAAAATTTTTACATTTCAATTCTCAGAAATAAAGTTTTAAATCAGAGAATGATAACGATTCGGAAATTACAGAGGAGACAAGCGTGTCTTCACTCTTTATAGGGAGAAAAACGAAATGTTCGAGGCACCATATTTAGATCTATGGAGGCACTCTAGGGTACATCAATTCTTGAATCAATAAAGGAGACCGGAGAACCGGAACCAATGAGAGTGAAAATGTTTCTGCATGGCATTTTGTCGCTGATGTAGCCATGTGTGAATGAAATAATAACGGATATACCGAAAAAAGCAAAAAATCAAGAATTGACCTGAAATGATGGCTCCTCGCAAGGCAATCAAAACATTGCTGAATTTGAATGGCATATAGTTTTCCAGGAATACCAGAATATAATATATTCACCTACTGTAAAATTGACAGTGAATATAAGATCAAATCAATTCAAAGTAATTTAACGATATGTCGATATGTCAAGTGTTAGGAGATACTGAATAGACTTGTGATCCCTGGAAAGAAATAGAGCCACACAATAAAACACTATCGATTTTTCAGTCACTACCCGCATGTTTATTCTTGAATGTTTCTGGTTTGATTGACACTGATGAGCAAGTAATGTTTCTAAAATTGTTTGTCTCAATCAATATTTCATCATAATACACTCATCTGCAAAATAATCAATCCAATCAAAATGATGATTATCAACAATAACTTATTTTCAGTCTGATTTGTTTGATTTTTATTTCATTTCGTAGGTGAATATATATGGAATCTCACGTGAGGTTGAGATTTCAACAAATGAGCCATATGTCCAAATATTACAGAGTGACACAAAATTGCTTTACTACTCCCATTCTGAAACATGAAGTAACTATTCATTTGATAATCTTCTGTAGTAGTCCATACTCAAAGTGGAGTGGAATGATCAAGAAGAGAAACTCAAAGTCGTTTCAAAATCCTGAAAAAAAAAAAAAATCACTGGTTGGATGATATTGATTCTCAAAGTTCCTTCGCTAATCATGTTTTCAATTCCAAACATTCATTTAACGCAGAAATTGATTCTCACTTGTTACATGTTTGTTCAAAAAGCAGAAAACTTAATATTCATTTTGTTGTCAGAATTTTTGATTTAATAACTTCACTTCACTTTTCACCATCAATTACTGATCAATTATCATTGTTGTACTTTGTTAATCAATTCAATTTTGAATTTACAACTGTTGTCTTTTCCATTTCAATTTCTTTTTTATATAAAATCAAGTTTGGTTCTTATTGTAGATACACTTTGTTGCTAATTTGACTGAAGATGGCCATTTGAGTGGCCGAAACATGTATCAACCTTATTGAAGCAGGATTGACTGCCTCCTTCGACATTAAAGCTATGGAGACGACTGAGTGTTTCTTTCATGTTCATTCATTTAATCCTCTACCTCCGTTCATCACGTAACATTTCTTTTTTTTCACGATGTCTGCTTTTTTGTGAATGTTACAAGGGTTTCAGAAATACGTTTCACTTCTACATTATGGTGATAATAAACTTTTGAAAATAAGCAATGATGATGTTAACGCATGAAACCAGAAAATTGATTTGAAGATGCTATTGAAATCAATAGGACGTGTACGAATAACTGCTGCAAATCGTCTTGGCATGCCCATTATCAGATTTTGAATATAAGCCTGATCGATTTTCTGCCATTCTTCAATTAAAACTTTACTGAGTTCCTGTAAATTTGCAGGAGCTAATAAAGCAGATCCTACTTTTCTCCCAAGAGCATTCCGAATATATGTTCAATTGGGTTTAAGTCTGGGCTTCTAGGAGGCCTATTCATTGCTGGGATTTCAACATCGACTAAATACCCATTAACTATTCTTTATCCATCATAATGAAATCCTTTTCGATGAACGGCGCAAATGGAACAATTTGTGGTTTTAAGGCGTCTCTCATATACCTATCGACTGTCATGAATCCCCTTTCCACTATGACTAAGTCCGTCAAAGCTCCAACACTCACGCCACCACTCACCATTATCGAACCGCCTCCGTGAGTACCTTCTGGCTGAAAATGGTTTTGGAAAAAATGTTGTATAGTTCTTCGGAAATTTCTTTTACGTCCATTCGGTGATTTGAGACAAAACCTTGACTCGTCGGTGAACAGGATATTGCTCGATTGTTTATTACCCCAATGTTCCCTAGCATATCGGAGGCGTATAACTAGATAATTTCCCAATAACTGTGGACCAGTTGCAGGTCTTCTTGATCGGATTCAAATATTGGAATGCCTCCATCTTATATTCCTATAACAGATCAAACATGCCCTACCTCCTTTAATTTGTTTTTCATTTGGACAGAAGTGAGTTTTTTGTCCCTTAAAACTTTGAGCGTTATATAGGAAGCGATTATCTCGATCATTCGTAGTTCTCTTCCGACCACAATTACCTGTTCTTATGAATACACCAATTTAACCAAACCGTTTTACAGCTCTCTGCACCCTAGATCTTGAAACTCCTAGAGCTCTGGCAACATAATATTGTGATCTACCATCCTGCAATAACGCCATAGCTCTCGCAGGAGTTGGTTGCAGTAACATCCATATCTCATGCAACCATTTGATGTCACAGCGAGCTTCGCAAACAATAATTCCTCATGAAACCTTGATATTATTTAAAAAGAAATGTAGGAATGTCACGTTTTTCTAAAAGCCTTGTAACCATCACAAGAAAACAGTTACCGTAACAAACTGAAAGGTGAAACGTACATAATAAACGTAGCTTGATAATTGAATGTGGAATTACATGATGAACCAGCTTAGCCACTCCACAGATGGTTTTGAAATTGGAGTGAAAATGCACTTTTTGTGTCACTCTGTATGATTCAGAGACATGCTGGATTTCTTGGAATATCAAACTTGTGTGAGATTCCTCATGTATTTACCTACGAAATGAAAGAAAAATCAAACAAATCTGACTTGAATTAACGAATTAATTGTTGGTAATATTCTATCAACATTCTGAGTGGATCGATTATTTTGCCGGTGAGGGTAGATGAAAAGAATGTGACTCATTTCCACTAGTTGTTCAAAATCCTTGCAAGTTGTCACTACTTTTCGCCAGTCAATAATAGTCTACCTGTCAAAACTCCTAAAATCGAGACCTAAACAACAGAAGGTTCTCCTCCGTATCCCTCGTCAGGACTCTCAGTGAGCCCCTCGTTGACGTCATCGTCCGTGTTGGGAGACTCGCTCGCATTCACAATAACACCCTGCTTCACTCCCGAAACGTCACACTCCTCGCACTCGTCAGTCTGCGCACTCGCACTGCGCTTAGGGAGACACTGCTGCTGCGAGAATCGCGCATTGGGATCGAAGCGGACCCCACGGCCGATGTTGGGGTCGGGATGGACCCCAAGGTTAGGATCAAGATGGACCCCTAGGCTGGGATCAAAGCGGACTCCGCGGCCAGGGTCGATCCCGAGGTTGGGTTCAGGATGGACCCCAAGGTTGGGATCAAAGCGGACCCCGCGGCCTGGGTCGATCCTGAGGTTGGGGTCAGGATGGACCCCAAGGTTGGGGTTCATTACGTGCACGTTGGCGGGTACGCAAGCCGGCCACTGACTTGGACAGTAGGGCGAGAACGAGGGAGCCATCGCTTCGGGGCAGTCCTCCAATGGGAGGGATGGCCCTTGGGAGGGTGGATTCCTGGCTGGGTATCTGTAACAATGGAGATTCGTTGTTTTTTGTTATCTTTTTGTCGTAAATACAGGGTGTTTCAAAGTCGATCCTCTCTATTGGGATTTCGGGAATTATAATAAGATAGGTACTCAGATGGTTGAAATGGGGTGAAGTTGCGCATTTACCTAACTTACAATATGTCGTCTATAAAGTTCAGAATTCCCAAGTATTTCCGGAGATTTCGAAAAAAAAACGAAATTCTGGAAAATTGAATTTAATTCTTTTTTGGCTCTAGTTATTGAAGGATTTCAGAATGCACTGCCTTTTTGCATTGCCAAGTTTTCTTTTCTACATCCTACTGGTTCCTCCACACCGAGAAAAATCCAATTATACGAGTAACTATCCAAAAAGATCCTATAACATGCCAAATTGAACATTTCAACCACGAAATGTCATCTGATGAACGTGAAAAGTCGACGTTTACGACGTGGAACAGCTTCAAATCACTCTCTTTGTTTCAAAAAGGTCACCTTATAGATTTGAAATGGAACAAGATTATAGTTGGAAGATGGAATTTGAAAGATAGTCATTTGAATCCTGAAAGATGTCATGTCACAGTTATACATGTATCTTTCAAGTTCCATCTCTCCTCCATTCTCCATCTTTGTCATACTTGTTTACCACAATGAGTCATCTCACTCACTTATGAACACTCGTTTCATTAGAATCGTTAGTCGTCTACGGATACCTGATATGTAAGGACATATTAGCTCGCAGCAGCTAGTGCACCCTTTTGACAGGGTGATAATTTTTTTTTCGAAAAAGTGGAGTGGTTGAAAGTTCTTCTCTTTAGGGACTCGTATACTCCCAAGTATAGGATTTGTTGAGGAACTACAAGAAGTTGAATTCGGAAATTCTTCCAATTTGTATTCTCAAACTACCTCACTATTCACTATAGTGGCAGGGCTTGAATTTACACAGTTGTTATATCGGTTATAGATTGTATTGCGCATACAATATGTCCAAGATAAGAATGTATTCGTATCCTTACATCTTCGACATGGTGTATATGTTTTTTTCCGTCGACCTCGTATTAACGAGTTAGTTAAATGTTTATAAAATCGTTCATTAATGACCCCCATTGATGACCAATTTGTCTATTAATGCACGATTGTTTTATAGGCAACCAAACATACACCGCGTGCACTCATTGTTTATGCTATAACTTACAGAATCTTCATTCAAATCGAAAATATGGATTTCATCGAAGATTATCAGTTAACGGGTTCGCCTTTCCGAGTTTCTGAAACGATTTCAATCCCTGTTTTCTAACACAAGGAATTCATTTTCTGTGTTGATCATTTCGACAAATGTCAAATTTCACTAATGTCAGTAACAAGGATACTGGGTGATTCTTAGTAGTTTCCGGATGAATGATGAATTCGCGAACCAAGTCTTCTTCATTGTAGGAGGAATGAGAAATAAAGTCGACGGAATTTTTTTTTAACCAACTCGTATATTGAAAAGCGATAAATGATCTCGAATATTAACGCGCTCACTTCGCTCGCACGTTAGAATATCTCGATCTTTAAACGCCCTCATTAATACACTAGTTGGTTAAATAACTATTATTTAACTCGTTCAATTCCATTTGCTGCTTCAAAATTCACAAGAGCCAACAATTCATCAGAAGAAATAAAGGTTTTTCGTCTGCGTTTCGTGATTTTTGAACACTCATTTACTGACGCTTCCGTGTGAATCTTCGGCAACTATATTAACAAATATTCCAAGGTTGTGACAAAAAAAACAAATACTCCAAATTGAAAGCATTTTCATCGTAGGCAAATGGAGATTTTGTGAACAGAGTATCTCGCACTTGTGATGCATTTCGATGCCCTGGAGTTTCGATAAAAAACTCTACTTGGGGGTAAGTATATATACTGAGTAGAAAGAAAACTACTCTATCCACTTATCCGAAAAAAAAAATCACCCTAATACTAAAATACCAATCATTTGAATATTGAATTGAAAGGAAATTATATTGATATGAGTATCATTTCATTTTAAAAATATTACTATTTAATATCGAAATGCTCATCATTTGACCCCTATGTGAGCACCATTTCATTCTCATATAAGTTTTGTTTCACAGTTATATGAGTTTTTTAGAATGATGGACTTGATTTTTTTTTATCGCTTGGAGCGCACTGAAGGAAATCCCAATAATGTTCAAAGAACATCGTGCGTCCCTAGGGAGGATAGGGATAGGAGGTAGATAATGGATTTTATTTCTGACAGTGACATTATAAGCTTATATCGTCATAGTTACGATATCTATAATGAGGGTCAGAACTCCCTTGGGATGTTATAGATGCTATAATTCCCTCTAGCTAATATTAAATAAGAAATGCATAGCAACAACCACGCAATAACGTAGCAATAAGGAATCTCCTATTCGCGGTAGTCAAGATCATCATCTGACGTTCTGATGACATTGAAACTATACGGAACAACATGTCTAACTTCCAATCGGGAAGGTATCTAATGAATGAAATCAGTCAGAAATAAAATTATCTATGTATCACGGGAATTATAGAGCCTTAATAACCTCTGGCAATTGCTGTCCCTCGGGCCAGAGGCCCTCGGGACGCAAACTTTGCCATCGGTAATTAAGGCCCTCATAATTCCCTTAATACATAAACAACTATTTTTTTGGTACTTCTGGAGATTATACAGGGTGTTTCGAAATTCGACCGACAACGCTTGACAGGTGATAGCCCTCGTGATTTCATAATCACTGAGATAGGGACATACGATCTTCAAGTGTTCAGTTCTCGAGATACAGGGCGTTGAAGTTGAGAAATTTAAATAGGTTTTTCGCTATATCTCAAGAAAAACTGAATTCGATGCATTCAAATTCGGTATATGGTTTCATCTTTCAATGGTTGATTTTTTGACCAGAAAGACATTCCGAGAATTTTACCCAGAGGTGCGCTACAGGGGGTTGTGATAACTTTTCCTCCCATATTTTCTACGCCACTGATGAAATTTCGATTATTTCAAATTTCTCGAATTGATTGTTCAATTATATTGAAAAACTGCATCACCTTCAACTAAGCTAAAATGAACAGTTATCGAGATATTTGACCCAAAATAGAAGTTTGCATTGTAATTTTTCATCTTCTTCAGTAGTAGAAGATTACAAAAATTTTTGTTTTCTCTTTAATTATGAGTGAAATAACTGTTTCTGTTCAGCTACAGAATGAGATCTGAATAGTATGTAATCTACTCAACACCAGAAAAATATTTTTGCAATTTTCTACTACTGAAAATGATGAAATATTACTATGCAATCATACAGTTCTGTTTATCAGCTAAAAGATATTTCTCTTGGTGCAGGTTTGCTAACTGACGTTTCGTCTCCTGGTCACTATCATCAATTTCTTCTGTTCTGAATAGACTTTGTTATCCTCTATTTGATAGTGTATCACAAGTTACTATCCTGTCTGGAAAAATAGGAGATATTTAAAAAAAATTATCATACAATGCTTTGGGGTTGATGTTTCACTTTCAATATGTCACACTTAATGACATTCGGGAATTTTGTTCGACGGCGGAAATAGCGTTCACGAGTAGAGACATAAGAGATATGATGACAATTTATTACAAATAATTACAATAGAGGAACCTGTTCTAACATCGGGAACGTAGCGAACTCACAACTATAAATATGAACCTCGAACGAACAAAAATAATAAACTAAAATGTGAAAACTGCATTTTTGACAAAAATGGGTTTCACACAATATTGTTAGAGTTCAAAAGATTGAGGAGGAGAGAAATCTATGGTGCAGTAAATAATTTTCGAAGAACGGCATAGTAATATTATCATGAATAGGGACATCATTCTGAGCATTCTTTTGATTGAAACTTCCATCTTTACATTTCAGTATATTATTTTCGTTCGTTCGGGGTTCATTCTAGTTGTGAGTTCAATAGTTTCCAGATGTCAAACAGGACACTGTTTTTATCGTACTTGTTTGTAATGAATTTTCATCATATCTCCCTACTCGTGAAAGCGATTTCCGTCAAAAATACAGTGACATACAAAATACCCGAATGTCATTAGTGAAAGATTGAAAGTGAAACATCAAACTCGAAGCCTTCTATGATAATTTGTTTTTCAAATATCTCTTATTTTCCCAGAAAGAATGGCAACTTCTTATACACCATCGGAAAGAGAATGACAAAGTCAATTCAAAACAGAAAAATTTCAATATGGAACGTCGGTTAGAAAACCTGTACCGAGAGAAATATCTATTATAGCTATTATACGAAACTCCATTGCCATATTTCTGAATTGAATAGGCGCCAGCATAGTTCCCTTTTCACTAATCAATTCCTTTATTCCAAAAAAACTCTTGAATAATTTTGTGAGGAAAAAATTAATAGAATGAGTGATGATTGGGGATTTGATTAAAAAGTTTGAAGCAAACAAACACACAGACACACAAAACGACCCAATAAAAACGTGGTAACAAACCGACCCTTCTTTGTCAAGGGACTCACGTAAGAGGGCTTGTTGTTTTTTCAAAACCTTTTCAGAACATCTACGTGACTCAACCATCGACTTCATTGGATCGAATAAAACCCAAAAAGGACACTTATGCCAACTCGAGTATTAAACGTATTGAAACCCTCGGAATTTATTAACGAACTTGAAAGTCTTTGTGTCAGTTCGTAGACTACCTATGATCCCACACCTGCGAACGAATTACAGTTTTCTGAAATACCTCCGAAATATTTTCGTGAATTCTCATTCAAGGCTATACTTAGTTAAGAAGGTAATATGTATGAATTTCCCTTTATCCTTCAACTGCCATGTGTATATTTGAATATACACAGTGTCTTGTGTAATCCATCATACTTAATGCGATACCCAAAATAAAAATGAGTGAAATAGTCAGTTAAATCGGACAAAAAATGAGAAAATCCTCCATTGAATTTCAATTGTGATTTGGAATTTTGTATT